CATTGAATTTATCAGAAAAGTGCATCTAGATTGCCATGAAAGGCATCAACCCTGGGGATACTTCCTGGTACATTGGAAAAACTGGTGCAATAGATAGGTGTTCTGCCTATTCGTGGGAAGATGGGTTCAGCTGTGCTTCAAAGGGCTATTTTTCTCTTGCTGTGTGATGGGTACATTTCTTTTAGACTACTGAGGACTGTGTGGAACAAACATAGCACTTTGGCCCTGCCATCAGAAATGGTACAGTGCAGGTCTGATGGGACTGGAAACATAAATGGTCTGGTCTTGTGAGACATAGAAGAGCTACAGGGCCTCTGGAAATAAAAAGACCCATCACTTGCTTTTTTCCTTTTTTTTTTTTCCTTTTCCAAATCTGGTAGAACTGTGTTTTCTCTCCCTGTGGTTGCTCAGCTATCAAGAGTTTAAGCTTCTGGTACTAGAGCTGACTGTCAGGCAGCTGCTAGGAACTGGACAGAGCTACTCTGAGCTGCCTGGGGTGGGATTTTATTTTAAAGTGTCTCACTAAAGCATGAAAATGTGAATTTCTATCATTGTATATATATCAGGATTGAAAATATTTAAAAGTCTATTCTTCTCTGTGAGAAGGTTTGTTATTAATACAAGGTATATAGAAACGATTGCCAGCCTTCTCTTCCCTCAGTATTTCCTGCTGATAAGATATTCCTGGATTAGATTTGCTGTCCATGCTAGATTCACAGCTGATGAGGTAAATTCTCTAGCTGAGAATACATAAGCACTTTCTGAGTGAAATGGGAATATATACATTTTTAAGAGAGAAAAAGAAAACACATCCTTTCAGTTAAGAATATTAGTTTTCAGTATATGTATATACTAAAAAAAAAAAAACAGATTTTATTTATACTCTGAGAATGTTTCTCTGTATAACACATGCGCGCCTCTCTGAGTACTTTGGCCCCCTGTCTGCACACCTTAGGCACACATTTAACATCACCCATCAGAGTAGTCCCTCTCTTGCCAGGGACAATCCTTACATGTAAAGCTAAGGACGTATAGAAGTGCTTTCAATATCGGGGCCTAAAACTTTCAACTCCTGGTTAATAGTCATAATACTCACTTTAGTTAAAGCATCACCGATGTAATAAAGGTATTTTTTCATAACATTTATCATTTTACTTTAAATAGTAAATAGAATTTTATGACTGTGTAATCTGATAATCCATCAAATACATGTACAAAACCATGGAAGCAGAATCTTCATTTAAAGTATAGATTATATAGAACTGTATCTTGGTCTTGAACACCTTGAAAAGCATTTGTTGCTAGAGTTTTTATGGCAAACACATCACCAAAACAAGCTGTTAACCACTGACAAAAAGGAGTTTTGTGTTTTATGTTGTAAGGGTTAGATCTTGTTCCAGAAGCACTGTGTATCAAAATAATTCTGTACAGATATCTGGAGGATGTTTTGTCAAATACTAAGCATGTTATGCTGCTTGAAGTGTTTTCATGTGAATGCTATATTGTAATGAAATCTTGAGCCTTATGTTGATATGTTTAAGCAGTTGTACCAACCAAAGTAATTTTGGGGATCACAATTAAATGGAAATGTTCTGCTTGATCTCAGATGTTTACATGAGTCTGCCAGTCAGTGTCAACTCCTCACCTTAACAAGCCTCCCATCTTGGAATGCTTTGCGCTGTTACTGCCAAAACACACTTTGTCGTGTAAGTTTCCAAAACACCACAGCATGATCACCATCAGCAAGAGGCAGCAGTCTTCAAAACTGTTCCCAAGAACACTGACACAGAGCCATGAAAATTCTTTAAGCAAGCAAACAAAGAAAGGCATTGTCCTTTAACGGGGGAGAAGATGAGCTTATTTGCTTTCATATGTACAGAAAGTGACGTTAAATCCCTACACAAATCTTTGCAGCGGAAGCCAGTTTTCCAGCAGTTAAGCTGGAGAACAGTATTACCCAAGTTCCTACTGCAGTTACGGATAAAGATCTGCCTGAGTTCTTTGCAATTAAACCACTTAACTGTGGTCTGTTGCTTACTAGTGACCAACAAATAGAATAGACTCACCATACTTCCCAAGATAGGAAACAGCACCTGGCAGAGCAGGAAGGTGGGACTGCTGCTACCTGCAGCTAACACCACATGTGCCAATATGGGACCACACCTTTGCAGCTGGCCCAAAGCAGCACACCAATGTTACTGGTACTGTATGCAAGGACAGAATTAAACATCTACAGTGTATAATTAGTTTTTAAATAAGCAAGGGTGCTTTTTTTAATTATTATTTCATTAATATGATTTTATTATCATCATCATTACTGACGAGAAATACATGTTGTGTGAAAAGGGCTTCAAGGAAGAATAGACCATCTGAAGTAGCTGACCTTCTAGCTTCCCTCAGCAAACATATACAATAAGCCTGAGGTGTTCCTTCTGCCCACAGCATTCCAGGTGTGTCAAGTAGTGGACTGGATTCACAGCACACATCATCAACACAAATCCATGATTCCCAAACAGCCCACAGATTACAAAGTATCCTGAGCAATACTGGAATTGCCACAGCTCCATGGCAGTGCACAAGGGCAAAATTGGAGCACCTCTGCTGCCCAGTTGCAAACACAGATGACTGTTCAGGAGCAATCTGGCTAAACGACTGGGCAACCTTGCCTTTTTTTAGGGTGACAAGAATATCACACCTCCCTCACCTCACCCACAGTAATGCTCAGGTTTAGCACCTTCCTCCAGTGTTGACCACAAACACATTACTGAATTATATTTCTCAGTCTCCCTGAGCACAGCAAGTCTCGTAAAATAAAGCTTCAACTTTGTAGAATATAATTTGCCACGTGGAGGTTAAAAGGTTATTTTCATGCTAGGTATTATGAGTAGTTTGTACATATTCAAAAGGGCTTCCCTTATCACACGCAGCTGCTCCCCTACATTCCCAAGCCCCAGAGATCCATATTCCCTCAGAATAGCCTTTAACATCTGCATCCACCTTCACCACTCTGCGTTCACAGAAAATGCACTGATTTACCATTCAAAATCTCCTCATACAAACTTGTATCTGACTCCACCATGCTAGTCCTGTGACTGGCAGGCCCCCTCCCTCACTTCCAGTAGTCTGTCCTGCACACATATCCCAACCACTTCACCAAACCTTTTCCATTTAGAGGCGTTGCTAGACCTCTTGACCCTGCTACCCCACCCCAAGCCCCAGCCCTAAGTCAGTGTAAGGCCCTGTCCTGTGGCACAGCTTGGAGGACCCACCCACCACAGGTAGGATGAGCACCAGTATCTGTACGAGACAGTGGTTTTTGTGACAATCTGTAGATTCATTTGAATCTTTGGTCAGCAAGCTAGCCTGGTTTAGGCTGTAGGATATACAATAGGACTTGGACTCTAAGGGTGGGCTCCAGGATCCTGTTTTAAACCAAGCACATACATTCCTGCATAATAATAATTGGAGCCCCTGGTGGTCTAGTGGTAAAGGCACCGCGCTATCACCGCCGAGACCCGGGTTCGATTCCCGGTCAGGGCCACTCCCGGGCAGGTGGGGCTCGTTAGCCCTTAAAGGCAACCCACCTACGTCCTAAGGACCTCACTGCCACCGTCCAAGCTCGCTTGGCCCCGGCAGATGAACCTTAGGATTAAAGGGTGGGCTCAGTTCCGCGCACACTGTGTCTCACCTAAAAAATCCAATGCGCAGGCTGGAAGGTGTAAAGACCTTCCCCGGATCTTCGCTCGCGAAGACTGGCCATTATTAAAACATTCCTGCTGTCTGCAAGACCAGCACTGCCTGACCCAAACTGGCGCTACAGGCACAGTGCCAATGCAACATCATCTGCCATCTCCAAATGGTAGCAGCCAGTATCCTAACCAAAGAAGTTTCTGGAAGTTTTTAGTTCTGCTCCTTGACAAAACAACAAATCTGTTCTACTTAAGGCAGATTTACCATTAGAGCTACTAATTACCACCAGACCCTTCCTCTCCCAGGCCTTGGTCTAGATCTGGATCTACTTAATCTGGAAACCAAATGAAGTCTAAATTTCCTGCTTTGTGAACCCAAAGTCAACTCAATTCCCAGGCCTAATCTTTCTCACTGATCATTTATTCTCTACAACCCCTAGAGCTCCTAGCCTTGTGGCTCTTAAAAAAATCAGCCCTCAAAACCAGGCCAACAGGATCCAGCAGTCATCCATGCCCAGCAGCTCCTCCTGGTTCTGAACTAGCCCTCCCTGGAGATACCACAGCCCAAGGCCTCCAGCCCATCTGAGAACACAATGTTCACATGATACTGACTTACAATAAATACATGGTGCCTGCAACCTGCCAACAAACCAAGCCCCACATGCTTCTGCTTTCCTGTGCCCCAGTCCTAACTGCAGTCTTTATAGTTTTATAGCTACTGTATGACCTCAAAATAAGTTAAGATAGCACCTGCTCTCAACACAAGTTTTTTTACCTCCTTCCCCTTGTTTTTATGATTGAGAGGACCCTGTACAGCCAGGCAAGTTTCCAGTGTTACCTCTATGATACTGATCCCCAGCACCAAGAGATATTCAGACAACTTCAGACAACTTTCAGAAATTAGAAGAGGAAACCACTACATTTGCTTTTTTCCTACTCTGTAATTACTTTTAAAACCCAGTGTCTTATGGTATTATCAGAGTCACTGCTGTGCTATCTGATCCATACTTCTTTATTTACCCTCCAGTATTGTCAGAAAGGATTTATTTTCTCTCAGTATAATATGTGTTTAAGTTTTTTAAAAATACTTACCTCCATCTATAAGAGTGGAATTCACATGCCCAGTTTCAGTATTTCAAGTTAACTGCCAGTCACTTTGAGCTTCCTTTGTAGTCAAGGGAAATAATTAGGCACCTTGGGAGGCTGATTCAACTAATTCTAAGATACTTATCTTACACAAGGCATATGAATAACCCTGTGAGGCTGTGTATCTCTTTCCACAGCATATAAAGGGACTCGAAGGGGAAAAAATCTATTCTAAGGTTTAACTGTAGATTTTTAAATCAAGCAAAATGAATCCACCTAACCTCCTGTTATTCTTGTGCTTTTCTCTTTAACAACATTGCAACATTTGAGCATTTTAATGTGTGATTCACACAGAAGGCAAACACATGGAAGCTACTGCAGTCATTGCCACTACTCAGGATGAAGAACAATAAATTCCTGATGTCAAAGGGGGAGTGTCACAGATACCCTATTTCAGATAACATCTCTTTTTGTTCCCGATAGGCTTAAAAGCATGGAGGGAGATGTCTTTAATTTTTTTTTGCTATACCACATTAACATGTTTCCCAGAGACAGAAGCCAATTATTAAATGAGGAACATTCCGAAATCGGCAATAATACTTATGTTTGTTATAACCAAAAGAATAAACAGACATCACTAAATAGCAGAGAAGTATTTTAGTCAAACAGATCCAGAAAGTTCCATACATGCAAAACATAGCATACTGTACAAAAAACAATGTCAAAATCATCAATTTTTGAACTTCTTCCCAGCTTGAGAATAACAGTGCCACAAGAACTTATCTGCTCTACAGTGCTCCACAAAACACTACAGTTCTGACAATACCTAGTATTCATAACCTAATCTAATCAGAAGGAAAACACATTTGGTGCAGGGGATGGAAAGAACCACCCCTGGAACCCGGTGCAGCCATTCTGCCTGATGGTGTAGGTGCACAGCTCTCCATTAGTTTGGCCCTGCAGTGCTGAAGTCAATAGGAACTTTGTGGATCATTTCAGTGGAAACAGATTCTGTGATAACATGGGCCTCTGAGAGGAGGGAAACTCCTTCCTTTATGAGTAAGTACAGAACACTGACGCAAGTTTAAAGCACAGAGAAAGAAAAGATGTGGTGGATATAGCTATGCTCCTTCAAAATGAAAACATGCCCTAGAGCATCTCACTCTTTCTAGCCAAATTTCTAGATTTCCGTTTCTAGTCAGAGAACATTTCGTCTTCGAAGAAGTCTGTCCAAATTCTTCCCATGCTAACTTGTGCTATGACTGACTAGATTGTATCATTTATACTGATAGGAGAAATAAGATTAAAAAGTCCTTCACCTGTAATAATTTAAACCAGCAAACCATATCTTAATGAAAAGACTCTTCAATAAGCATTTAAGATCTATTTCTGTTGAATGAACAAATAAAAATGTAGGATGTTTTAGATTTATTAACATATTTTAGTCATTGTAACTGTAATTATTGTGAATACTCAAAAGATATTAAGAAGTGTGACTTTTCTGTGTGTGTGCGCTTGTGCAAGCATAGATCTAAAAATTCACGCATACAAAAAAACCCGTATTATTCAGGAGGAATCTTGCAAAAATTAACGAAAACTTAGTACAATATATGGCAATTAATTTTTTGAAAGGGATAATTAATTTTTTCAAAGACTGTGTCCTCTTAAATAAAGATACTCTAGTATCAGATATACTAAAGTATGATTTGAGATAATTTCTCTGCAATACATTTTCTGTTGCAAAAACTACTATGCTTCTTGAGCAACATTATTTTCTTTTAAAACATGTTATTTTGACAATAGAAACCAGACTTGAAAAATGCAAAGATGCCAAGGGTTGGACTTGATGATCTCAGAGGTCCTTTTTCAACCCATCTGATTCTATGATTACATGATTCTAGGACTGATTTCAAAAGGTTTCACTTGTCTACAAAACTATTTTTCAAATGTTATCACACAAAATGTTATCAAAATCAAGTAAAAATGACATGTTCCCAATCCTGAATTATTCAGCAATTCCTCAGTTGACTGTTTTTTCCAGTACAGTTAGGAGGCCACCATCTCTGCCACATCTCCAATACAAAGAAATGAGAGCAATCTCAGCACAGAGCACATCAAAGCAACAGCCTGACTTACTTTCTCTGCACTGTCTGTGTGAGGAACCAATTGCCACCTTCCCCTAAAGAAGGATGAACATCAAAGAAATCTCCTGCAGTATGCCTCTGTGTTAACACCATGTGAATGCCCACCACAGCATCCAAAATCCAAAAGGGATGAAAAGCAATGCTGTCCTGAAAAACTAGTTCACTAAGAACATACTTTTAGTGGCAGGTCATAGGAATTAGGAAAAACAAATCTACTCTCTTTATCAGATTAGCCTCACTAGGAAAGAAAAGGCTGAACACAATACACCTCAGCCAAACCTACTTCCTGCTCACACCATTTTACTTTCGGTGATGTCTGCAGCACAGCACTCAAGGTAAGGAAAGGCCAGTTTCAGTCTGAAACTAATGTTCTTTCTTCTGGTGAAACACTTAGTAGTAACTCAGCATTCAGGGACTTGTTTGCTACAGCATTTCCTTTCATCCAATCAGTGTTTAACCCATTCACCTATGAAAGCAACATAAAGGTTGCTACTTGATCTCATCTGACTACAAATCAGAAACCAAATCTGTCACACACACAGAAAACAATAATCCACCTCTGCTTCATAGGACACTATCTCAAAGAAAAAGTAATCTTGAAAATAAAGACTGCTCATAACAGAAAACAGTTCACACTTCGACTGGAAGATAAAGTTAATTAATAATGACTGAAGTAAAAATTCCTTTTTTCTTTTTGTGCACGTTTTGGCTGGGATGGAGTTAATTTTTTTCACAGTGGCTAGTATGGAGCTGTGTTTTGGATTTGTGCTGGAAACAGTGTTGATAACACAGGGGTTTTTTCATTATCAGTGCTCACACAGTGTCGACATCTTTTCCTGTTCAACCTACTTGACCAGGAAGGAGGCTGGGGGTGCACAAGAAGTTGGGAGGGACACAGCCAGAACAGCTGACCCCAACTGACCTCAGAGATATTCCATCCCAAATGTCATCATACTCAACAAACAGAACTGGAGGAAGAAGGTGGTAGGGGAAGTGAGGACATTCAGAGTGATGGTGTTTTCTTCCCAACGTTTGTCACACATGATGGAGCTTTCCTGGGTATGGCTAAGCACTTGCCTGCCCTTGGGAAGTAGTGGATGAATCCCTTGTTTTGCTCTGCTTTTATGTGCAGCTTTGGTTTTCCCTATTAAAATGTGTGTCAGCCCACGAGCTTTCTCCCTTTTACTTTTCCGATTCTCTCCCCCATCCCACCAGGAGGGAGGGAGGGAGTGGCTGCATGGGGCTGAGCTGCCAGCTGGGGATAAACCACCATACTTTTACAGTTTAAATAAAAGCTTCCAAATTGTTGGAAAAATGTAGACATTCACTTGTAAAATTATGAAATACATCAAGATGAAAGCAGCTGTTAGAATACAGTTAAGCATTTAAGGTTACATTTTTTCATAGAATTTTCAGAATCAACTCAGCTTTCTTCTCCAAAAATATGAGTAGAGCAAAAACTTGGGTCATTGATTTTTTAATTTACAAAAGAAAACTAACTTCAATTCTTTAAATTTTGTAGGTTCTCATACAACTGAAAAAAAAAAAAACCACCAAACACAAAGCAAGACAAATACAATAAATAACACTAGTTCTTAAAACAGGATGGCAACCCATGAGGCTGCCCTATCGGGCTCTGACGAAAAGGGTTTCATCAGGAGTTGTGGGACAATTGTCCTTCTCAGTAACAGTCTCTACTGTACCTGAAGCAGACACAATCACTACTGTTTTAGCTGCTGAAAGAGCTTTCTCCTTCTCTGCGATGGCAGCACATACTGCCACAATTTCATCACTTTCAAAGTCATAGTCGGGGATTGGTTCTTGTACAAGCTCCTTTGCTTTTAGCAGTGCTTGCACTGACTCAGTCTTTGTTGCCTTCTGCTGTTCATGTAGCTTTCTTGCCCAGGAAAGGTCCTCTTTCCATACTTCGGGGTTCATTGGAAAGATGTGTAAGGACACCTGGAAACTTCGGATTGCCTATAAACAGAAGAGGGAAGAAACAAGGATTGGACACTCTAAAGTCTACCTATTTCATCATAAAAATTGACAACAACGAAAAAATTACATACATCATTCACTAAAAGACAAAAACCATTTTACTCAAAACTGTCTTTACAGATGGAGCAGCCCTCTCTTGGCTTACGTTCCATAGCAACATCACTCCCAAACAACCATGTCTGAAAGTATGAAGATGCACGAACAGAACAGTTACCTGGCAACAAGGGCACAAATAAACAGTTCATGTATATGAAAAGCAATATTGTAATTAAAAATGTAAAAGCAAAAATAACTTTTTGGTTTGATAGTTTTCTATCCCTCTTTTCTTCTATCATCAGATGTATGGAAAGGCAAAAGCAGATATGCTTTAAAGAAATACAGAAAAGGAATGACTGGAATTTAAAGTATCACTAATATTGCTGGTTTTAAATTCGCATACAGTCCCTTCACATACAGACCTAACACTAAAATATTAGCCCCATGACAAGCAGTTTCCTTAACAGCTTTGTGCTTGCGAAAACACCTAAATAAATGGGCAAAAGTAGGCAAATAACTCCCAACTTGAAGAGTTCCTCTCACAAAGAACTCCTATAATCTCATAAACCACATAATATTAGTACAAGTAAATGCAGTTGATACTGCTTCTCCTTTCATGCAGCTCAACTGGGAAAAGACTCAGAAATCTTCAGTGCAGAAGTTGTTAAATATTTAAAAAAGTGACCATCTAAATCCATTAGATGTGCTATTTGACAGCACAAAAAGGTCGCTACAATACTGAAGAGAAGCTAGACCAAGAATTACAGATGTATTGTATTTTAGTTATTTTAATAGTGAAAAGGTGAAGACTGACCTTACTTACTCAAATTTATGTGCATGTGCACAGAGACATGTGTGCATTTCACTTTTTTTCACATTTCACTGTACAGCCAGTTCTGAAAATGGCCATGGTAGTGACCAAACTCTTGGGTGACAATGTAGAGAAGCCTTCCTATAGGCTGGGAAAACAGTGATTATACAGATTATTATAAGGATTTGGATTATATTTGGGAAGAGTTCTAGCAGATTGCATATTAAGACTTTCAAGACATAAGAACAACCATCAGATTTCCATATTCTATTGTAAGTTATAAATACTTAAAGCATGAAAATTAATTTGTAAAATCACAAGCTTACATCTGCAATGACAGAAACTGATAGTTCATACTTCTGATGGCACAGAGGAATACATGAACCCTGTATAATGTGAACTCAGAAGACAAGGAATACAAATCAGATTTAAGAAATTATGATTATGCTACCACCATTACTGCTGTTGTAATAGGCAGCCATTTCAGTTCCAGGGAAAAAAAAACCACTTTGATTATTGGTCAATAGCCAGCTCTGAAGTGTAGGAGCATGCTGAACTTTAAACAGAAGGAGGAGTGCAGTTTAATTCTTGTAAAGCAGTGTCATTTTATTCAACTCTGCTAGCTTTTAATTTTCAGGGATAGATGAACTCCAAGTAAACACTAAATGCTCTTTTTTGTATTTCTGTTGAAAACAAAATGTCAACAAACGCCATCTGCTTTTAAGCTTTCCATGAAAGAGGTCCCCTAATTAAAACTTGTCTATATAGTTGCGTTCATGCATAATAAACAATGTTAAAAACAGTAATAAAATATAAGGTAAGCTTTGAAAAAAAGCCGCTTTGATGATTTCATAACAGCATAAAAGATCATCTTAGTAAATCAATTAGAAAAAAGGTTTTGTGTGTGAAATTTTTACAAAGAAATAATAAAATAATAAATTTTTAAGTGCTGCAAAAGATCAGAGGGACTGACTTGAAAGCAGCAATGTAGTACTGAAAAACAGACTTGCTATCCATATAAAATTTTATGCTGCCACTGCAACTGCCACTAATTTCTATTAAGACAGAAGAAAAGAAGAATTGCTACTTCTGAATCTCCCCCTAATGGAGATGTAAATCTCCTTTGCCAACTGCCTGTTTTATTATAGGAAAACATGGTGACAGTAGATTAAACTGGTATTTCTAGCCTTATTTTAAAGGGCAGCTGTGGTTTCAGAGACCCCACACATGTAAGGACTACAGGACTTTAAATCAGTACATCGTCATATATCTGGTTTCGTTTCTGCAGGGAGGTGCAATGTAAAATCTACTGCAAGACATTTTTGCTTGCGGAATTACAATATTTGAAAACTTTGTATTTTTAAAGTATTTTACATTTTATCTCACTAGACAGTATTCTGTAGCAAACAATCTTTCATTTGTCCCATGAGCAGTCTCTTCTGCTGGTTTGCAGAGTCTTTCAATGTGAAGAGCAGTTTTGATCAGACTACAGTTTTCACAAGTTTTTATAACACAAGGACTTAGCAACTGTCACTACACAGAGACCCCTAAAAAAACGTAACGGAGCACTTTAAGAGGTTATGCAGTTTGCATCTGCCACCAAAGCACATATTAGGCCTATATGTTACACCTGACAGACACTTTTTGGCCTATTTTAAAGGATATCCACCAGTGAAGATATGCACACATCTACAATCTTCTTTTGTGTTTAATGATCTTTAATATGGATTCTTTTTGTTCATTTGTTTGCTTGTTTTAACAGCATTCAACACAGTACTTGGGGGTAATGGTGCATGAAAACCTGGGCATGAGCTGGCCATGTGCACTCACAGCCCAGAAAGCCAGCAGTGCATCCAGGCTGCATCCAAAGCAGAGTGGGCAGCAAGTCGAGAGGGTGATTTGGCACCTCTGCTCTACTCTGGTGAGACCCCACCTGGAGAGATCCAGCTCTGGGGTATGAGTACTTTTACCTTGCAAATCAGGACACTCCAAGAGACTAGAAAACATTTACCTCTCTCTTACCAAATTCTACTGCTAAAATTATTACAGGAATTTCAAAACAATTGTAAAACAAACTTTTTGCTGCATCCCAGTTTGTCTTATCCTGCGCATCTGTTTTAGCTAACATTGTTAACATTTAGAAAAATTTGCTCAAATTCAGAATTAGTTAATTAGCTGGATTCCAATAAAACATTTCTTTCTTTGGGAGCACATAACTCCCACCATTATCTAAGATAAAAGGGCTGATCTGACTATTCATATTGTCAAGGCTTGATTCCTTGGACAGAATGTTGTGTCACACATAAAGGCTGCTAAGCCACTAACTCTTTAGTAAGCATCCAACAAACCACATCCTTCAAAACATCAAACAAAAAGCACACAAAAACTGCTGCATATATAAACATCTACCCAGTTCACTTTATAATCCTCAGTGCTCCAGATCTGACAGGGACCCAGAACAGAATCACAGAATGGCTGAGGTTGTCCAGGACCTTCTGAGGCTACCAGGGCCAATCCCCTGCTCCAGCAGGGCCACCTGGAGCTGGTTGCCCATGACCACCTCCAGATGGCTTATGAATTCCTCCACCATGGAATACTTGTCACTTTCATTTGGTCCTCTCGTTTGGGATTTTTTAATGCTGCTTTTGTTTGGGCTCTTCTTTTTTTCCTGTTTAACCAAAGTATGGGGCTTACTCTGTTTCTCAGAAGAGCTGTTCTAATGAAGCTATTAATGTGAAATTGTTACTGGTTAAGATGTCAGCACAAATACAGTAAATATAAGCTGTAAAGCCAAATATTTACAATTAAATGAAATACTAATAGCCTGATTAAATTTCTACAGTTTCTACATTCACAAGTTTACTCAGTTGTGCTCTGCACAATGATTTGTAGAATTTAAGGAATTTCTGCCTTTACAGAAATAAAGTTCTCCTAGTTCACATTTAAGTAGTACTGTTGAATTAACCTATTTAGTAAATTCTGAAAAAAAAAAGGAGCAAACAACTTTTAAAAAAGTAAAATAAAAGGGGACTAATTTACCTCATTCTTTCTATCACAAGTTTGATGAAAACTAAATCAAAACAAATCTTTATTTGCAAAAAATGAATATATTACACAGTTCATAAATTAGATTTGTTTGAGAGCTGTATTTTAGACCAGGGAAACTTCAAATTAAAATACAGTAAACTGGTTTTTTCCCCAAGAAAAAATGCATCATCCATTGTGAAGTAATAAAAATATTTACAACAGACCATTTGGCAAGATGTGGGTAATGAAGACAGACACTGGTGGGGGAGAAATGAAACAAAGAAACAGAAGAAAGCTGCTTTTGAGAAGGGTACTGATTCCCAAATCTCAAAAAAAAACCCACTAAAAAGCCCTGACACTTATGCTTTATTAATTTTTCTTTGTAAAAAATATAATACAGCAAAAAATCAGAAAATATATATTTCATATTATGACATTGCAACAAAGGGAGTATCCTGCACATCTGCAGTGCACAGCTTTTGCCTTAGGTTCAGCCTTAGGAAGAGGCTTGCTGTTCAGCCTAGAGAAGGGAAAATTGCAGGGAGACCTCATAGCAACCTCCCAGTATCTGAAGGGGGCCTGCAGGAAGCCAGAGAGGGGCTCTTTGCCAGAAACTGTAGTGACGGGACAAGGAAGAGGGGAAAATTAGATTTTAGGAAGAAATTCTTTACTGTGAGGGTGCTAAGGCACTGGAACAGCTTACCCAGAGAACTGTGGGTGCCCCATCTCTGGCAGTGTTCAAGGTCAGGGTAGAGAGGGCACTGAACAATCTGGTCTAGAGGGTGATGTCCCTGCCCATGGCAGGAGGGTTGGAACTAGATGATCTTTAAGGTTCCCTCCAACCCAAAGCATTCCATGATTCTGCAATTCTAGGTTATCCCCATTGTTTGAGTTTGTTTTGGTTCGTTTGTGTTAATACTGCTCCTTACTATATTTTAAAGATTAGTTTTTTGGTTTTGAAATATAATCAGTATATTTTCTTATCTGAGAGCTCATGATGAGTTATTCTTCGAATGGACTTTTGTGAATGTGTCTGAATTTAAAGGGTCACTTGCTGTGTTTCCACACTATCTAGCAGAAATCTATTATACTCTATGTGTTACAGTATTTACAGACAGAGGGTAATATGACACAGGAGGAAATTCTCCCTTTGCATTACATCACGTACCCAAGATAGCACCATGGCATACAGCTGCAGCTAGAAAAAAGATGCACTTCATCACTCCTGGCTTTTTGCTGTGTTACTAAGTGGAGAAGCAGCTTCAACCACCATTTGAAGTTAAGGAGCCAGAGGAAAGCAGGAATGGGCACACATGATTGGTTGCATGTGAAGCAGGAGAGGAGACAAGGAAAACAAGGTACTAGAACTTCATCAGCAGGCACGTACAGAAGTGAGCCTGAGTATCAACTGCGACTTCATATTACCTAATGTTTGAACTACGGTGACCTGTAGCAGTACAGAACCTAGAACATGCATTTATGTCAACACAATTATTGAACTGTGTAAAGCCACCAAGTAAATATAGTATATAACACAAAAGTCTTCGAGCTAGGCAGGTCTTTCACAAGACCAGCAACAAAACCACATAGGAAGCATTTGTGAAAAGCAATAAAGTAGAGGGAATTATTGGAGATAAGTAACAACAATCTTTTTTCTTGTCTACATTCAGGTTACCATCAGGATATACATGACATTTCTGTTCTTTCCTTCTCATACACAATTAATTTTGTTTTCCTACCAGTGCTATCTCTCCTAATCCAAGCTGGGCACGTCCCAAAGTCTGCCAGGCGTCCCAGGAACGTGGGTTTCTCTGGACAGCCATTTCTGCTGCATGCACTGCAGGGAACATTTCATGTAGAGACATCAGGACCTATAACAGAAATAGAAAGATAAGAGGAAGAAAAATAAGTAAAATTGAAAACAAGTTTAAATTTTCTGGGATTGCCCAAGTAACAACCATTGTTTTAATAACTAAGGACCGGTTCACCTTATCTAGCTTTTTTTAGTTTGAAAGTTAGTTGTCTGATCTCAGACAGTCACCCAGACTCACTTCACTCCCCATGGAGACAAACAGGCATGCTGGAGGATGATTCACCTGAACTATTTAAGCAACTCCATTAGAAGTAGATTAACTGCTTCCGATGGTGTCTCCCCTTGTCTACAAGACCTATGTTCTGTAAAAGGATAACAGAATACACTGAAGAACAAACACATGGAGAATTAAATACAATAAATGTGCAACTATTGCTGAAAAACTCCTGGGTTGTATTTTTTTCTTTTTAATAGAAGACTGGAACCTACCAAAGACAGTTACAGTGCACATGATATAATTACAAAACGATCCCCTGCAATTCAGCATGGAAACAGACCTCAACAATGACTGTTGTATTTAGAGAGTAAGCATTCTGCAACAGCAAAGCCTAACTTCAACATGAAGTCTATTTAAAGAAGAAAAAAAGTGGTTCCTGAAAGTGAAAATCTGTTACTCAGCAGTTACCATACTATTTTTCTTCTTGCATTCAATCTCCATAACTAAGTCTATAAATCATAGTTAGTAATACTTAACATGGCTCAAAGCTTCCCATATGTTTCCAAGACTACCATGAGATTGGCACATTACCTGAAAACCTGCATCACACTCTGAGGTCATGATTTCAGACACCCACATGCTGTGGTGGTAGACACCACTGCAAGAAACAAATGACAACTGCATTCCTGCAGTATGAGGAGAATGTCAACCACAAGAGTAAGACTCATGTGTGAGCAACCACTTTCAACCCATCTAACCCACAAGTATGATGAATAATTTTAGGACATATTAGGACCACTGCTGAAGTGCAAAAAGCATTTATTTAATCTTACTGTTCTAAGGTATATTAAATAGATAAATATGAGTGCAGAGGAGGATTCAAGTGTGATGACCTTCAGTATTTACTGTAATTAACGCAAAGTACTTGCACAGCAAGGGGGTGAGTACACTAAAAAAAAAAAGTGGTTGGGGGGAACAGAGGAAGGCAAGACTTACAGAAGTAACCTTGTACTGAAGAAACCAAGGCACATCACAAGAATAGCTTCTGATAAACCCTACATACTTCTGCTGTTTTAGTATGACTGAATTTTTCTGAGGACTAATCCTATGGCTTCTCTTTGATTCTATTTAATAGACTGTACCTTACAATTTAGGAGTACCTAAAAAATCTTTAAAAAAAACCCCACAGTCGAATGTCGTTTTCCCCTTTTTCCCCTCAACACTTCTCAATGACTGTGCTTTGTATCAAAGCCTGTAATAAATGTTATGTATTTTTCCAAATCTTTCAGTACACTTACAGGTTTGAGTGCAGTTCCTCTTTTCTGCAGCAGATTTGTGAATTGAATCAAACTCTTACTAGTAAGTCAACAAGAGTACATTCTACCAGTATTTAGCAATACTGCACCTATCAGCTACTTTTTACATTAGTGTCTTAATGTGTTTATTCTCTTAAGAGAAAACAGAGAGTACACACTCATCAGAACATTTTTATGCATCCCAAGTATTCAGTACTTCCTACCAGTACTTTCTACTGCAAATTCCAAAACATCCACGTAAACATTTAGGCATTCTTTTGTAGTTTTTAATGAATTTTAATGTTTTGTTTACTGAATTATGACCTCACTAATAAAAGGCAATTATTCTGCTTTCATCTCTTTATGACTGTTGTGTGTACTAACGTAGACAGCTGCTTTAAAAATGCTCTTCCAGATCATGGTAGTAATTACTGTGCTCCTAGTAACTTTGGCATCAGTTTCTAGAAGTCCATTCAAAGAAGTACATATTTGAATGCATATGCATTTTGTCCAGCGTAGGCAGTTTTTAAGTTATTAACAGAATGACTCAGCCATTCTTGTCAGTCATTGCAAAAGAATAAATTAATGCACATCATTTTCCTACACTCATCTCAAGACTGTAATTGTACATATATATAAGTGTATATACATAACTGACTAGAGAGAAATGTCTTCAGTAAGTGGATTTTCAGCACTTTATTCCAACAGATTTACCATTGCCACATGCATTAAAACAAACAACATCCATGTCATACAGTGACTTAGTTTAACAGATATAGCTTTAAAAAAGCCCCCTACACGAGAAATTAGAAGAATTAGAAGAACTCAGTGGCAAAAAGCCAGTTATATGTAGCAACTATCATCAGGAGAATGACCAAATATTAATGATCCAGGCAACAGAGTGACCCATCCTGTTCTACCCACAATATTTTGGAAGTGTTATGAATCTCAGCAAATTCTGGTTTTAAGTGACCTCACTGGATTGAGTCTGAATCACTATATATAGATACATTCCAACTCCAGTGAAACTGACCTAATTTCTTTTTCCATTCAGAAACCCATTTCAAAATACAGAGGAATAAAATCCATCCTACTCATAAGCAGCTTACATTTATCCATGCTGATAAGTGATTACCATTACACCACACAGAAATGCTTTTTTGCAATTTAGATTTCTGGAGTTTCCATCAATGTTCTGATGGTAAACTCGTCTCACTACACATCCTAATTTAAGGAAAAAAAAATTTAAAAAAAGTCAGCAATTATTAGCAGATGTTTTAGAACCTAAACTTGGGACTGTAAGTCTGGTCTTCTCTTAGAAATCTTATAATTTCTTAAGTGGGAAGTGGGTTCGCTCAGTTCAAGATTAAAAAAGCCTCTAGAAAAGGGAAAACAGAATGATTTGAATATAAGCATGATGAGTTTCATCTATAAAAAAAAAGAGGAAACATACATCTGAAATCCTGGTCCTATTCCATGAATGCAAACTCAGAATGCAGCACTGTACAAAACTAGATCCTCATATCACTGATGACAAAACATCTAAAAAGCCTATTAAATGGAACTAAACCTGAATGTTTACATTTGAATTTATTTGTTTTTATAAACAGCTATAAACAATTGTATGATGTACTTTAAAAATCCTGTCCTAGTTGCATAGTGTATTCAGTCTGGGATCTGAGGTGAAGTATCACTAGATAAGCAACACTAACCAGGTTAATTCTCAAGAGTTGTACATAATATCAGAATGTCTCATTCCCAAAAGAGTTTATTATAAACATCACAATGTATCAAGTCCTTTGATACCTCTCCACACAGTAAAGAGTCCCACATGGTCCAGTCCCCAAATGTTCAAATGCAGATTCAAAGAATCTGTTGAAGTCTGTTCCTCCATCTTTGTAATTCAAAGCAGTAACAAAGCAATTCAGTCAATGTCCAAGAAATTCAGCCCACAACTAGTTTCACACATTAATACAGGCAGTCTTTATACATTCCTTTGAACATACATACTTACAATGCTACTTATCTAACATTACGATCAATACTAGGCTGTTGTTGTTGTTGTTGGGTCTTTTTTAAAGATTTTTGTTTTTCAACAAAAATGTAAAAATGAACTTGCGTAAACATTTACTTGCCACTCCTTGCAATGCAGGAGCAGCTCAGGCTGGTAATGGAATATCAATTACATATACTGACAGATCTTGCATGCAAAGAAAAGTGCACCCCTAACCTCTCCACACATCATAAAAATCTTTTTTTTAAATGGGTCAAAGACTAGCTGAGAGAAATGGAAAAAAAATCTCATCAACTTCTATGGGGTTTTGAAGCAGTTGAGCAATTCCACAATTCCCATGTGATTTTCTGGAAACACAGTTATTGCAAGTGTCTTTGACAACTAAGAACTTTAAACACTATTTCCGCTCTTCAGAAATCCTAAAAGACATTTCTCCTACATCTGTTAAAATACAGAGCTTTAAGAACCTACCATAAACATTTACAGATTCCTACTGTGCTGTTAGTGTATTTATCTGAACTAGATATTAAACAACACAGTTTAAACAACACTGGGAACCTGCTACATAACCCAATATAGGATTATCTTAATAAATGTAATAGAATATAAGACAGATATTCAAACACTCCATCCTCCAATGTTAAATTCTCAAAAGAAATTACTTCACGAATAGACTTTTCCTGAAAGAAAATTAGTATAGACCATAAAGAATCTATGCATACTGCACAAAGTCATTCTTACCATCAATCTCCTCCCCTAGTATGTGACCCACATACCAACACAGGCAGCTTTTTATAGACCAAGACCTGGTCAAGCTTTTGCTGAAGTTGTACAGTTTTTCCAAAACATTTTCATTGAGTTACAGACCAACAGCTGCAGTATCTGCACTGGTATGGTGCACTGGAATAACAGTCAGCTCTAAGACAGTATCAGTTAAATATTAACCACAGTATTTTTTGAATTAATTACATATTTTGGCAAAAATGGATTTTTACAGCTCACATTAGTGCCTTTAGAAGTAGAAGGGTATCAAATTACACATTATACTAAACAGCTTCCAGTAAGCATAAGTCATACTGCAAAAAACATCTGTAATAATTATTTGCATGTACGAAAGAGAGGTTGCCAATTGAAACAGTAGATGTTTGGAAGTTTGGTTAAAAAGATTCACTGAAGAGTTTTATAAATGTATATTCTGTACATAAGCTTTTCTCCTGTTCTCATTCACACTGTAGCAAAAGTGTTACATATATAAGAAATTGAAACCAAAAAGAAAGAGTGAACTGCCTAGTTCTGCTCTCCTCTTCAGGAAACCAAGCAAAGGCATGGTGGAAGCTGAAGCGTGGGTACCTTCACTCTTTCTGCTTTCGTTACTCTCCAGTGGTTTCATTAGACAGGGAAAGATATTTTACAAGATGAATCAAAGTCACACAGCCGGTCTCTCAGCTGTAGTTCTTGCACACAACAACTAAACAATGGTGCCCAGTATCTGCTAACAAACACATTGTTTTCTTTCTTAATTTCTCAACTGATAAAGAATTGTCATGCTTTACCTGTGATTTCATCTCATAAAGCGTAGCATCCTCTGGAGTTAATTGAAGTGCTTCATCCCACTTGAGAATAGCCTCTCGGTACCTGTAGTTAAAACAACATTACAGTGTCACACTATTTAAAAATATTGGATATTTCTATTTATATCCTGACATTGTCCTAAAAAAAGTGCCATGGCATATGATTAGTATTAATTATTTTTCTAATTATTTCCCCATAAGACATACTGAACTGTTTTCAAGAACTAGTCACTTGCTTTGACTGTGTGCTAAGTACTACAATACAACTGGCCTCAAGTGAATTTATAAATCAATACAGGAAACCTGTGGCAAAGCTTAATGACTTAAAACTAGAAATCTTAAACTGAGTCCAATTCCCCTCACTGTCAAAATGAAATATATTCTGAACCCAATATGACTTGATACAGTCACAATTTAAAACTTCTTTTTTGTACTGTAAGAATCTAAAGACACCTAAGTAACCACAGAACATAAACATAAAAAGGAAGTTGAAAGTAAACAGCTATACTGAAATCATTCAACTTTGGGAAAGCATACACTAGCTTCATATGTTGACTATCCTAGAAAAAAGAACAAAACAGAAGAGTTGACCAAAACCAATAAGAACTAGCTATTTGTCTTGAACAATGAGGAAAACCTAGTCAAATGCATACTACGGTTTTGGACCATACTGACAAATTGCAACAGAATAGCGAGATGCAGTTACAGAGGTACAGCCTTTCAGCCCTAAGGGTGGCATCAGATCAACATTAATGAGTCTGTGGGATACCATGTGTTGTCTGAATCTGTTTAAAAATCCACATTCATTATGGAACTGTGCAGAAACTCCTGTATTTATATTAATTACATGGCAAAGGTCTGAAAATAGTTACTCTTGGTAGATACACATGCTGCAATTTTAATATAGTATAGATAAAACTAAAACTACAGTAATTTTCACATGCACATCATATGGAAACAGTTCTTATCTTCCCCTACTCCCCCTTCTTCCTTCCCTTTCCTTTCCCCATTTTTCAATCCTCTGGGTTTTATTACACTTCCAGGTTTTCCAGAGGAGTCACATGAAGACTTTCTAAAGTTCCGAACCAACTGGGAACACAAAAATAAGACTGGAAAAGCAGTGCAACTGAAGTCAAACTCTCCTTATGATTCAGGTTTTATTAGTTTGCAAATTACAGTGGTAAGTATGATATTTGAGTCCTAAGCAAAGGATGTTCCAATAAAGTCTCTCATTTCCTCAAAGTTCAGCCACCAGCTGTACATTTTGTCATCTTGGTTCGTTCCCCATGGGCAGGTGTGTTCACCCTAAAAAAAATCATGATATTTTCTACATATGCCATTAGAAGCTTTAAGCTGTTACTTAGTTGGTAACAGCTTTAAATTTTTACTTCTACTTTTTAAATAGAAGCTTATAATTTTGTTCAAGACCTACCACAGACGTTGCACAATAAAGCCTACATGAGTAAGGGAAGTCCTCTGCTCAGTTAGGTGGTGACCTGGCCATGCAGAAAGGTGCAATATTACAAGTGTAGCAAAAAAGTTTAGCAAAAAAAGATTCTGGAAAACAGAGCAAATATGGTAATAAGATCAGTAACCAGAAAGGAAGGAACAGTACTGGCATCCTGCAAGTAGAAAGATTTAAGACAAAAAGTTGTGTTTCAGGAATCGTAATTTTCGCTTCTATGAACAGAACATTGCTCAGAGTGTCAATCTGAATGGAATAAAAATTCATAGCATGAACACAGTAACTCTGAAGGAAGAATCAAATACAAGCTAATGTTCCCTCAAATCCTGTTAGGTTTTGCTGCCAATTTGTCAACAGTCTACCAACAGAATAAAGATGGACAAGGGAAAGAAAGTTGTCCATTAACAGAAACACTGTGCTATACGTGTTTCTGTGTGTGAACAATAAGTTACTTAACTCTGTCAGCCTCAGGAAGCATGATCCAAGAGAAGGACAACAGAATCAATTCCTAGCCTGAGAACACAACAGGAAAGGGTTGGTGAGGGAAAAGTTTTCTGCAGGTACACACTGCTAAAAGGACTGACTGCTGACTACCAGATCACAGTGTGGAGACACCCACATGGCTGTGAAATAGTAATCTTTTCAGTGCATATATTTCCTCGAGAGGGAAGTCTGATAAAACATGACTGCTCTATTCTTTTAAATATGCAGAGAAAAGGATGTTTCCATTGCTGTTCCAGGAGTAAGGTCCTTACTAAGGTCTCAGGTCCTTACTAAGAGAAACTGAGGCACGTTGCTTGCTCTAGTAATGTAAATTTAAGAAAAAATTGTTTAAGTAAAGATAGTCCATTAATGAAAGAATTTGCTACCTCATTCTTCTGAAGAAAAAGATTATATACTGTATAAAATATGAAATGACTGAAAAAGTTTCCTGGGGATATAAGGTACCATTGTAAAGTCAATGTTCGAGTAAATGTTTTATGAAAACTATAAACCTTGGCCGAAATAAAAAGTGAGGTAACTCAGGAGTAGCGTTGTAAAATAAATAATTAAATCAATAGATCATTTTATGTTTCCCAGTATCTTTTTTTGAGTTAGACTGTACAGGACTTTTACCGCTACGAGAAGGGAACTAGTTTTCAAAAGCAAACCTTCAACATAAATATAACATCTGCTTTGGATTTAATCAACACATATTTAATGGGTATTCCATTTGCTATTTCCATTTCTTTTCTTAGAAATTAAACAAGCTCACATAGAGTAGTGTGACTAGCAGGTCACAAGCATTTATGCATCAGCTGAGTTACAAAAACTGCCACATCACAGCTGGAAAAATTGAAATAATGAATTTTAGCTTAATGCTGATCCACCAAGGTCTGCCAGAACTTCTTCCCATATGTCCAATATGGAGAATGAGTACACATGTTCTGAACACATGCTATGGCACTGGTGATGCACAGCATCACAGAATATGCTGAGTTGGAAGGGACCCACAACGATCATTGAGTCCAACTCTTAACCCTGCACAGAACCAGCCCCAGGAGTCATACCATGTGCCTGAGAGCATAATCCAAATGCTTTTTTTACTCTGTCAGCCTTGGTGCTGTGACCACTTCCTAGGGAGCCTGTTCCAGTGCCCAACCACCCTTTGGGTGAAGAACCTTTTTCTAATATCCAACCTAAACCGTACCCGCCACAACTTCAGGCCATTCTCTTGGGTCCTGTCACTTGTCACCACAGAGAAGAGATCAGTACCTGCCCCTCATCTTCTCCTAACAAGGAAGCTGAAGGTTGCAATGAGGTGTCTCCTCTGTCTCCTTGTCTCCAGGCTGAACAGACCAAGTGCCCTCAGCCGCTCCTCATACGGCTTCCCCTCAAGGCCCTTCACCATCTTTACTGCCCTTCTTTGGACACTCTCTAATGGCTTAATATCTTTCTTATATTGCAATGTCCCAAACTGCACACAATATTCAAGGTGAGGCTGCCCCAGTGCAGAGCAGAGCAGGACAATCCCCTCCCTTGACCGGCTGGTGATGCTTTGCCTGATGCCCCCCAGGACATGGTTGGCCCTCCTGGCTACCAGGGCACTGCTGACTCAGATTCAACTTGTTGTCGACCAGGACCTCCAGGTCCCTTCCTGCGGTGCTGCTTTCCAGCATCTTGCTTCCCAGTCTGTAAATAAACTCAGGGCTGCTCCATTCCAGGTGCATAATCCACCACCTGCCTTTTCATATGGTTGGTGATTGCCCAGTCCCCTAATCTGTTGAGGTCTCTCTGCAGAGCCTCCCTGCCTTCCAGGGAGTCAACAGCTCCTCCCACTTTTGTACTATCTGCACATATGCTTCGTATCACTTCTAGTCCTGTGTCCAAGTCATTCAGGAAGATGTTGAAGAGCACAGGGCCTAAGATGGACCACTGTGGAACCCCACTAGTGGCAAGTCAACAGTCTGATGCCCCCCTACTCACTACAGACCTTTCTGCCTAACCCATGAGCCAGCTGTTCACCCACTGCATGATGTGTTTATCCAGATGTGTGTTGGACATTTTGTCCAGAAGGATCCTGTGAGAGACAGTATCAAAAGCTTTACTGAAATCCAGAAAGATTTCATCCAGTGGCTTCCTTTGTTTAGCTAGGTGGGTTACCATGTCATAAAAATGAAAGCAGATTTGACAAGCAATAACACCCATTTGAATCTTAGGTCCCTTCAGAAAAAGGGATATGAAACCTAGCACTTCCAAAACAAAAATAACTTCTCTCAAAAATAACCACTCAAAAACAAGAATAAGACTCAAAAAAACCCCACAGATACATCCATTGGTGGTCTATGATGCTATAAGCCTTCTTCAGAAATCTCTGGTATTTACTCGAGTGGAGATTAATCCCAAACACCAGTTGGTTTGGGATTAATTAACCAGTTGGCTGTGGGCCTACTGACTATATAGCAGCTTTGCAGATAAAAGACTTGGGGGACAAGAAGCTGGGTGTGAGCCAGTAATGTGTCCTTGTGCCAAAGCAGCCCAACAGCATTCTGGGCTGCCTTAACATCACCAGCAGAGAGAGAGATAATGTGCCTTAACTCTGGTGAGACCACACATGGAGTGCTGGGTCCAGTTCTGAGCTGCCCAGTGTGACAGAGGCATGGACATCTCTGGATGAGTCCACCAATGAGCCATAAAGATGATTAGGGCTTGGAGCACCTGTCATATAAGGAGAGGCTAAGAGAAGTAGGACTATGCAACCTGGAGAAGGCAAGGCTCAAAAGGAATTTTACCAAGTTGCAAAATTACCCATTTGGAAGTGGGGCAGGGAGTAAGGAAGATGGAACCAGACTCTCCTCAGTCATGCCCAGTGACAGGACAAGAAGAAACAGGCAGAAACTGAAGCACAGAAAATTCTGTTTAAACATATTTTCTTCACTGGAGATATACAAAATGCAACTCAACAATGTCCTGGTGAGTCACTGTAGGTGACTTCACTTTGAGAAGGAGCTGAAGCAGAAAAATCTCTTAGTGTTCATTAGGATTATACAATACTAAAATATCAGCAAGGTTAGTGTTACATGATTTAAGATATGATTTTTTCTTGGCTAAATGAAAAC